CGGTCGTCTCTCTCTCTCTCTCTCTCTCTCTCTCGTGGCAGCCCCCAAGCTGAGGCTGAAAAGGAGGGCCATCTCTCCCTGGCAGCCCTGGAGCTGGAGAAAGTCACCTCTTTCTCTGGCCACTGCAGCCCTGCATGTCCCAAATTCTCCCCACCCCTTCTTCTTACCCCACTGCCCCCTCCCACCTACCCCTAGTCCCCCCCCCAGGCCGCCACCTCACCATATATGTGCGTCTTCTCCAGGGTCCAGGCACCTAATTAGTGGAGCCATGCCTGCGCAGCTCCACTAATTAGGGAGGTGGCCCTTCATTCTTTCGTGTGTGACCTCCCAGGCACACACTGTACAGGGAACTATCCGTGGGCCACCTGAATGGAGCTCGTGTACCACTGGTGGTCCCCGGACCACAGTTTGAGAACCTCTGCCATAGACTAAACCACAAAAATGAAAGTCTTGCTTAACCGGAGTTCAAATTTAAAGTAAAAAGGAAATTACCCTCTTTAGCTGTAGTCCCCACAGAGTGAAAGGAATTATTTTGAGGTAGTTTTGTGAACTATGTTATAAAGGAGGTCAGACTAGATGATCACAGTGATCCCTTCTGTCCTTGGAACCTATGAATTTGCAGGAAACACCCTTTACCTTATATTCTCTGGTTATGCTGCTGTGTTATGTATATATATATTCTCATTTGAGAAAAGGGGCTTATCTGTTGGGGGTTCTTCCCTGGTGATTCTGCTGACCCATTGCAATTCTGGGGAGGTAAGCCATGACCTGTAACTTATACAGAATCATAGAAATGAAGGGCTGGAAGGGACTTCAAGAGGTCATCTAGACCATTCTCCTATGCTGAGGCAGAACCAAGTATACTTAGACCATCCCTTACAGGTGATTGTCTAACCTGTTCTTAAAAATACACATCTAATTCTTGCCTCTGCCGCCTCCCTTTTTTCCTTTGATGGAACAAAGAGTGGAGACGTTCACATTTTGTTAGTCTAACCAATGCTGGTTCTATAGTGCTAGAAATATGTGGGGATCTGATCTTCGATTTGATTTTTGACTGCTACGACAAAAACCACATGCTCACAGAAATAATCTTATTTCCTTTTGCAGCAGACATGGAAGAAGAGTTTGTTAGCATGCTTACTGAGCTGCTGTTTGAATTGCACGTTGCTGCCACTCCTGACAAACTTAATAAGGTTGGTGCAAGTTACAGAACCAGCCACCACTCCCTACTATAAAGAAGAACTAGTGGGCGCTGCTCTGAAATTCAATGTAGAGTAGTACACCTCTACCCCGATATAACGCTGTCCTCGAGAGCCAAAAAATCTTACGCGTTATAGGTGAAACCGCATTATATCAAACTTGCTTTGATCTGCCGGAGCGCGCAGCCCCCCCCCCCCGAGCGCTGCTTTACCACGTTATATCCGAATTCGTGTTGTATAGGGTCATGTTATATCAGAGTAGAGATTTATCTAGGGTGGCAGATCAGACCGCAAATGGTGGATGGCACAGAGATGTTAAATAGAGAGAGCTGTGGTAGAAGAGATTAGGTGAGTCAGACCAGAACCAAGGGGCCAGGCTAGCTAGCTACTCTCTCACTGACAACCCAGAATGATAGGCCACACAAAGAAATCTCAAAGTGGGGAAAGCTTTAGTAGATAGAATAGGGATCTTTACTTGAGGGTTTGGTTTAGACTATTATGACCCGTCTACACAGACCGCAGCAAGTCTACAGACTTGGGGGAGCGGGGCTCGTGCTAGCACTGTCAAAATAGCTGTGTAGAGAGCGCTTTGAAGTTGCAGCTTGGGCTCTGAAGCCCATCCCCCTCCGAAGGCTTCAGTGCCTGAACTCCAGCCTGGGATGCAACTTCAGAGCACTGGCTACCCTACTATTTTGAAAGCACTAGCACGAGTACCAGTAGCCTGAGTCCATCGACCCAGGCTAGAAGGCTCACTCCCATGGCCTGGGTAGACGTATCCTTAGATATGTCTACACCAAAGTTAAAAACTCAGGGCTGGCCCATGCCAGCTAACTTGGGCTTGGGCTAAGGTGCTGTTTAATTGCAGTGTAGACATTCAGGCTCAGGCTGCACCTCAAGCTCTGAGACCCTCCCACTTCACAGGATCCTAGAACCCAGGCCCCAGCCAAACATTGCAATTAAAAAGCACCTTAGCCCGAGTCAACTGGCATGGGCCAGCCCTGAGTTTTTAAACTGTGGTGTAGACGTATCCTTACTGACCAGCGACACAATTCAGCGTCAGAATTAAATTTAGCATTAGTCATGTTCATTTTTCTGGGGGAGTACTCCAAACATTCTAATCTTGAAACAAAATGTTATCACTTCTAATTAGACTTGGCATTTTTTTTTAAAAAAGTGATACATGCCACATTAGTTAGCTGGAAAGACATCACTGATGCTGTTTCTGCTTATCGGCTTGGTACTAAGCAGTTCAAAATCCAGTTGCTTTCTTTCTAATTTCGTTTCTAAATTTGGACTTGCTTTAGCTTATTCAAAGAATTTGCTTATTTTTTTTCTTTCTTTATAAAAATTCTGCTTCACTTTTCCACTCAGATCTTAGTTTCCTTTTTCTTTTATTTCTTAGATACATCCTGAGGTTTTGGTAACCTTAGTCTTAATGATAGCTCTATATGCAGATTAAGGGCAGTATAATATAGTTCAGTATATGGCCGGGGTGAGCAATGCTTCAGTGGACAGAAAGATTTTCTCCTATGTACATGCCTGATGTAAATAAGAATTTTGAGTGGAACAGTAAAACTAGGTAAAGAAAAATGTATTGTTAACTTGTGTTTCAGCAACATTATTTGATCTTCCACTCTTGAATAATAGGAGGTTTTTTGTGGGGTTTGTTTGATAGGCTAGGAAAAAAGCTCATGACTGGCTAGAAGAAACCAACTTCTCCACATCACTAGACTTGGAAGAGAAGCCAGAGGAAAACAAAGAGGATGAACAAAAGACTGAACAAGGAGGAGGAGATGGTGGTGATAAAACAGAAGAAAAGAAAAACAAAACCGTGGAGGTAAAATAGTCCTAGAAGGAGAAATTTCATAAACAAAATCATAATCTCTTTGGCTGGATTCTCTAAGCAACCAGCATTTGTGCTTCATCCTTATGGGTGGTACTGTTGTTGTTTTTAATATCTCCAGGGGGAGAAGTTATTTAGCTTTATAAAGTATCAGAGGGGTAGCCATGTAGTCTGAATCTGTAAAAAGCAACAGAGGGTCCTCTGGCACCTTTAAGACCTTTAAGTCTTAAAGGTGCCACAGGACCCTCTGTTGCTTTTTATAGCTTTATAAAGGAACTTAAAAGAGATGGTAATCAATAGCTATGAGCCTAATTCTGCAAATTGTACTTATATAAATATTTTTCACTATTAGATTATTCTCATGAGTAAATAATCAACAGGATCAGACCCTCTGCCAATAGTAACTTTTTAAACTTTAAAAAAATTAAAAGCCTCAAATACACCTTTTACACAAAAGATTAAATTCAGGGAGACGGGAAAATCCTATGGTGTTTTGTCTGTAGCAATGTACCATATTTAAAGTCATGTCTCAAGATTTGGTAGTGGCTCTTTCTTCAGATGCCAATAAATGAAAAAAAAATATGATCAACTTATATTTAAATTCATGGATAAACAGATTGGCAAAGTAGCAATATTATTTACTATTCAAACCAAAAAGTTACGATTTTTTTTACGAAAGGTTTTCCTTAAGACTAAATATACCCACTAGTGCTATTGCCTTCTGTGGGTATAGTTAACTGTGGCTGAATTTCTTAATTTAAGTTATGACAGTGTTAAACTGTGCTGTTTTTTAATGATCTCTAATAAAAAAAATCCATTATGTTCCCTTTAAAAAAATTCATACACTTTAAAATGTAAGAAACTGAGTTGTACTGTGTATATTATAGATTATGTTATTGCAGATTTTCGGATACTGCTAAACCACTGAGAGTTGAGATTAGAAAGAGTTTATGTATAGTCACTTTGTTGCTAGCAAAATGAATTTTTTATCAGGAATATAATTCATTTTCACTATGGAAATGTGCTTTGGGGATGGCGTGATCCTCTCAACTCCCTATGAAATCAGTGTAAATTCCATGAGTGTTAAGGGCTCAATTTCAGCATCTATCGGGACCAGAACCAAAAACTCCACCATAGAAATTCCTAGGGCTCAGACTTGCTTCCATTGAAATGAATGGCAGTTTTGCTTTTTTACTTCTCGGAGATAAGCAAGCATGAGGTCCTTATACTGCCATCCCCTTTTCCTCAAGGATGGGTAACAGCTCATATTCCTTGGCTTTGTATGCACTGATATCTCCCAGTTTGTACTCTGCCCCAGTTTACAAAGCCTCTTCTTCAGTCTATAGAAATTATGTTACTGTTTCTTTGTTTCATTTAAGGAAGTCTACATGCTATCTATTGAAAGCCTTGCCGAGATAACAGCTCGTTGTATCGAACAGCTTCATAAAGTAGCAGAGTTAATTCTTCATGGGCAAGAAGTGGAAAAGACAGCCCAGGACCAAGCAAAAGTTATGACAAAGTGAATATAATTTTTTTTATTTCTTATTTTTGTCATTAGTATGCACTTGCTTAACATTCACACAGTTTTATTGAGTCCAGAGCTTTTGCAGACACCATAACACACCATGGATCAACAAACAGGACTGACTTTAGAGTTTCTGCGACTCTGTTTTCAAAAGCAATCAAATCACAGACTGCCTGTGATTTGTTGACATGCATATCAGATATATTTTTACAAAAAACACAACAGATGCACAAGTTGATGACTTTTTGTTGCTATATTAGAGCTGAAATGTGCACACTCATTTTAGGTGCACTTTTTACCAGCACTACCAAAGATAGTATACCAACATGCGCAGAATTTGCTTTTGTACTCCACAATAGGGTCTTATCATTTGTACTCTGCCAAAAGGACACAAAAATCTATTTCTAAGCAATTATGCCATATTCATCACCAACTCATTGCCAACCCACAGGTGTGGGCACCTAACTTCAAGAATCCCAGGTTCAAAACTGGGACCTAAGGATCCAATTCAAAACCCACTGAAGACCGTACAAAAACTCCCACTGACTTTAGTGGTTTTTGGATTAACCCCTAAACACATGACCCCCACAAGGCGGTGAACATTCTGATCCTGATCTAGCAAACTACTTATGCACATACTTAATTTTGAGCATGTGAATAATCCCATTAAAGTCAGTGGGGGCACTTTTATTTAAAATTCAGTACTTAAATTGTCTGCTGGATTAGAGCCAGAATGTTCTGCTCCTTGCAGGATTGAGCCCCAACTGAGGTACAGTTATACAACAAGTCAGTGACAGAGCTGGGACTAGATCTAGATCTCCTCATTCACAACCCTGTGCTTTAACCACTAGACAATGCTTCTTCTATTAATACAATCCACTGCTTTGGAGAGAAAAAAAACTCATTACATTCTTTCTAGCTGGGAGCAGGAGTATTTATTTCCAGTGGTATTTTTAATCATTGGGTTGGTATAACTTTAAGTAAAGCAATAATTAGACTAAAAGTCTAGTACTTTTACAAAAAAAACAAAACCGTGCCATATCAAAAGAGACCAATGTTTGATCTACTCTGGTATCCTGTCTCCAGCTGTAACCAGTGCTGGATTTTTCAAATCCAAAGCATAAAGCCTCCATCATGATCAAGATTGTCAGCAGAACTTTGACTTCTGAGATGAAGCAGGAGTATATTTTTAACGTTTGTCTCTTTTCTTTTTTATAACCAGTTTAACAAGTGCCATGTGCAATGAAGTGTTGTCTTTATCTAAGAAGTTTTCTGATTCTTTAACTGCCACCGGGGTAAGATATGAGAGCATTTCCTTTTTATTGTTTGTTTAATTTTATAAACATAACCTCTTTAAGAGAGATTCTCATCCCCTGTGAAAACTGGCTTTATGTGCAAGACTAGAAATAGGGCAGGCTGGAGATTCTCATTCCCTGTGAAAACTGGCTTTATGTGCAAGACTAGAAATAGGGCAGGCTGGAGATTCTCATTCCCTGTGAAAACTGGCTTTATGTGCAAGACTAGAAATAGGGAGAGCTGCAGTCCGCTCCAACCCCAGCCAGATCCAGAACACAGAGCACCCTTTCAGCAGATCCACCACTGTTGCTAGATCCTGTGATATGCCCTGCCTTCCCTAGGCTGGTTTTGTAGCAACTGGATCCACAGAGTTCCTGGACCTACTAGGTATCCCTCTGCCATTCCCCCAGCCCACTCCCCTTGAGTGGCCCACACACATCGAAGAACTGCAGCAGCCCCTTACCCAGCCCCTTCTTTTATATGCATCTGTATTAAAAAAAACAAAAACACCCACATACAACATTGGGAGCATTATCACGGGCAGCATGTTCACAGAGGGGCTTCACATCATAAATTATCCCATAGTGACTGATAAATCCCCTCGTGTTTGTAGTGAGGAGATTGAAAGGCTAGAGAATCTATTCCTTTTTTTTCCTGTTTAAACAAAATCACACTCTCACTATAGCAAGTTAACCTACTTAGAAAACAAACTTCTATTTACTGCTCTGGCTGGAAACATTTACACTTTGTTCCTGAAAAATGTACAGAGGATATTACTAGTGTAACATAGCTTGTGTGACCTGAAATGGGGAAGGAGTGAAGACCTTTATGGGAGTCAGCGGAGCAGAGGTGATAAACTCCACCACAAAATATTTTTGAACTTACCTGACAATCAAGTGATCTGGCACAATCCAAAGGGAAAAAAGTTGCTCTTTAGAAATAGTTTTGTGAAGCCATGTCTGGTAGGGATTATCCAGGGAGCATAAATTCTTATCAAAGACACGGAAGTTTCCCCAGGCCTATTGGAATTTTAAGAAGAGGCTCCTGCGAGCTACTTCAGGGCATCACTGGATATTTTTTCAAAGTTATTTAAAAACTAACATAATTTATTGGATTGCTTTTATTTTGAATAATTTACATTGCTTCCAGTTATTTCAGATGAATCTGCCTATTTCTGCATTTTCTAAGCATGTTTTAGCATATAAATGTATGCACGCAGAAAAAATTAGCCATGAAATATTAATCAGACCCAACTCAGGATATTCAGAGCTAAGGATTTCACTGCAACTTTATTTCTGTCCCTTGGTGCATAGGCATTCAGGAGGGTTTTACGTTACAGGAACATAGAGTTCAGGCCCAAATTGTTACTGGCATTTGTGCAGGGTATGAGAAGTTGGGCACAAGGAGCTTTCCGACCCCCCGTATGCTCCACACAGGGGACAGCCTCAGGCCCTGTGCTTGGTGCCTCAGAACCACTGCCCCATCCATATGTGCCTTCAGGTTGTGCCAGCGGGGAAAGATGATGATGATGATGCTGGCTCCCACCAGCACTAAGGAAAGCAGTAAGCATCATCCAACAGGACTGTATAGGCTGTGTGGATGGGAGCTCAGCAAAAAATGGTGTCGCAGGGAGTCCAGTCCCTCCTTGCACTCCTTACAGAGACAGTGCATCTTTACACTGCTCCCATCGCAGGATGTACAGAATGAAAATTACATGCATCTAACATGATAATTATAATGTGCATAGAGTTAACCACCAACCAAATTTTCCAAATATTTGGCTAACTCACATACCCAGCTGGATTGATTCTGGACAAAAGGTAATTTTCTGGGAATGCCACAGGCCTCTGCAATAGTTGTGTAGAATGGAAGAGCTCTATCATCAGAATAGCAGCAGTGCTATATAATTCAGGCATATAGTCATTATAATGTAATTGTGGCCTTTTTCCTAAAAGTTAGCAATTATTCAGAACTAGGAAGTATCTCCTTTGTTTATCGCTCTAGATTTCTTTCTTCCTGCTTGCACTTACCATTGATTCTTGCAATCAATAATGTTTAATTGACACTACTTTCTTTATGTTTAAGAGGTTTATTGATAATCAACTAAACAAGGGGATATGGAATAGATTTTCTAGTTCCGGACAATAAAGATACTGTTCTGCTATTTCTCTTTCTACCCTCATTCCCTCCCCCTTTGCCTTCCCCCACTTTGTTTTGTTCTTCCATCTCCCTCCAAACTGCCTCCACTTCTCTCCCTGTTCTTTTAAAGATACTATTTACCTCTTCATAAACACATTTCAGTGCTTAAACTACTTACAAGGTGTGAGGATATTTGTCCTGTTTCTTTAACTCTGTAACAGAAACCAAGCAGAACGGGGGCCTGCGAAAGTTCAAAGCAGAAGCTCTACAGTGAATTGAAAAAATACTGTTTTATGTGTTCTAATAAAGTTCCCTGTTCAATGTTGGACGAAAGCAATTCTTTCTGCAAGTCTTTGCCATCATTATGTGACAAGGCAAAGTGCACAGAGAAAAGAGGATCTGACCACATCTACCATTTAAAAAAATGCTCTCCACTGGCCAGTCCTAAATTCTTACAGATGGCCTCAAATTCTGTGGCATTTGACATAGCCAAAGAATCAGATAAAACAATGAGCCCATCTTATACACTGTGATACCGTACAAGGCAAATAGAGAAGTATAGACAGATGAATGTTAAATGTTATCAAAAGTAGTATGCCATAGTATTAAAATTATCTTGAACTTGTGTATTTCCTTGAAAACCTTATTTTCATCAAAGAGAATCAAGCTGAGCCAAGGCCTTCTCAAAATTCATACAGCCAAAACTGATCCATTACTAAGCAAGTATATTACTGTTAAATATCTGTGTTTAGCCCTGGCATTACATCTTGTCAATATTTGTCTTTCTACAGAGCAACAAGAAGGCAGAGCTCCTTAACCCAATGGTCAGTAGTGTGCTATTAGAGGTAAGCTTTCAATTTTTTCACAGTAGGAAAAATTTTGATAAACTCATTTTGAAATGAAGCATACACATTTATGTCCCTATAAAGAACCATACAAATGTAATGGTAATGGCATTGTAATTCTGTGCCATCTCATAAACAACTCCATTTTGTGTTCAGAAGTCATCCACAAATGCTGGACCAGAGCAGTAATACTAAATTTTGTCAGGATTCCTAAGAACACTGACAGAAGTGAAATGCTTTTCTTACTATGTGTTGTAATGTATTGACTAAGCTGGGTGAACAATTCACAATATGCAATTTATTCAGCAAGTTTAGCCTTTTTTCCTGCTCAGATATTGCCTATGAACAGACTAAGGTTATTAATCTATTCATTATTTGTGATTGTGCACATAAAACATTTGTCAAACAACTAATTTCAGCCTACGGTTAGCTTGAACAGTTTACTATGATTATTCCTTCCAGGATTTAATATTCACAGTTTGAGCTGCAAGGTTACTCAAGTATAGTAGTGTTGTTCTTCCCTCATTGCTTGAACCTAATCTTCAAACACGACAGTGATTTAAAACAAGTTTTATTTTGTGATTAAATTAATCTTACCCATGATCCCACACACATATAACCACACTAAATTGCACTTGTACAAATATTCACAAGTGCATAAAAATAAGAGCAATCTTGGTCAAACCAAGTGTCTGTTGAAGTCAAAATGTTCATGAATATTTTTTCTCATTCTTCACCCAGTTCTAGTTTTGACCAAGAAAGGCTCAGTAAGTTTTAGAAAGTCCCTGCTTTTTACTCAGTTTTACACTCAGGTTGACTGAGACAGAAGGAGTTCAAAAGATCGTAATATCAACAGACAGTGATTGGCTCATATAGGATTAAAGTTTAATATATCTGTGGCACCCATTCTTTTGCTCTGCCAACTAGCCACATATTCTCTTTAAAAATAAAAATCTATACAGTACAGAATGCACATTGTTACTATGTAGCTTTAACCTAACACTGGGGACCCATTTACAAAAAAGGAAAAAAGATCTATTATCTGAATAGTCAATTGCAAATAGACTTGTGGTTCTCAAACTTTTGTATTGGTGACCCCTTTCACACAGCAAGCCTCTGAGTGTGACCCCCCTTATGAATTAAAAACTTTCTTTTTTATATTTAACACTACTATAAATGCTGGAGCGAAGCATGGTTTGGGGTGGAGGCTAACAGCTCGCGACCCCCCATGTAATAACCTTGTGCCCCCCGAGGGATCACAACCCCCAGTTTGAGAACCCCTGAAATAGACTATTTTGTATTAAATAAGCAATATATTTAAAAACACTATTGTAAAGATTCCTGGCTTTATAGTAAAGATTCTTTTTATATTTCTTCTTATTGTGGTGTAGAGATTAAAGTTGCTAGTACCTAAGTTGGCACATTTTACTGTACCATAACTCTTGGATAAATTCCTAACAAAGCTTGAACCATGACATTTGGATCTGAAATTGAGGCTCACTCCATACCACAAAGTTTGGGGTATCCAGGTCTTGTATACCCATACGAAGATTTGCCATTAGTCAGCCCAGAATTACAGCATACTAAAGAAATGTGAGCAGCTGTTCTACATTGTATTAGAGATTCAGTATATAATATAATAGTGCATTTATGCTGCAATATATGAATAATTTTAAACTCACTGATTTCAGCCATGCTACATCCTCATGCAGCAGGTCTGAAATTAGCTCTGTGGGTGGAAAGATTTGATGCTTTTTGTCGAGGAAGTTGATTCTGCTCCTGACCACATGAAGGTATATTCCACCTACATTACATACACAACTCTCTCTAGAAGACAGGTTTCAGAGTAGCAGCCGTGTTAGTCTGTATCCGCAAAAAGAACAGGAGTACTTGTGGCACCGTAGAGACTAACAAATTTATTAGAGCATAAGCTTTCGTGGACTACAGCCCACTTCTTCGGATGCATCCAAAGAAGTGGGCTGTAGTACACGAAAGCTTATGCTCTAATAAATTTGTTAGTCTCTAAGGTGCCACAAGTACTCCTGTTCTCTCTAGAAGGTGATGCACAGTCAAATAGGGGACAACATACCTCTGTATATAATGATGCTTGCTTGCTATAAACTTTTTACAAAGAAGAAAAGAGTTATTATCTGAATATGTACTTGAATTTTCCGAAAGCCTTACGTAAGGTCGTTTAGCTCTTAAGCACACTGAGCAGTCATGGGATAAGAGGGAAGGTCCTTTCATGGATTAGTAATTGATTAAAAGGTAGGAAACAAAGCATGGGAATAAATGGTCAGTTTTCACAATGGAGACAGGTAAATAGCAGGGTTCCCCAAGGATGTGTACTGAGACCTCAGTGGTTCAGTATATTCATTAATGATCTGGAAAGGGGAATGAACAGTGTGATGGCAAAATTTGCAGACTATAACTATCTTAATTTTGTAAGTCCAAAGCTGACTGCAAAGAGTTACAAAGGGATCTCACAAAACTATGTGACTTGCCAACAAGATGGCAGATGAAATTCAGTGTTGATAAGTGCAAAGTAATGCACATTGAAAAACAATCCCAAATATAAGTACAAAATGATGGGGTCCAAATGAGCTGTAATCATCGTGGCTAGTTCTCGGAAAACATCCACTCAATGTATAACAGCAGTCAGAAAAGCTAACAATGTTAGGAACCATTAGGAAAAGGATAGATGATAAAACAGAAGATATAATCCCGTTATATAAATCCATGGTATGCCACACCTTGAATACTGCATGCAATTCTGGTCACCCCATCTCAAAAGCGATATAAGAATTGGAAAAGGTATAGAGAATGACAACAGAAAGATTAGGAGTATGGAACATCTTCCATAGAAGGAGAGATTAAAAAGACTGGGACTGTTCATCTGAGAAAAGAGACAAGTAAGGGGGGAGACTGATAGAGGTCTATAAAATCATGAATGTTATGCAGAAAATGAATAGGAAAGTATTATTCACCCCTTGACATATCACAAGAACTAGGGGTCACTCGATGAAATTAAATAGGCATCGGGTTTAACACAAACACAAGAAAGTATTTCTTCACACAATACACAATCAAACTGTGGAACTCATTACCAGAGGATGTCGTGAAAGCCAAAAATATAACTGGGTTCAAAAAGGAATTTTATAAGTTCACAGAAGATAAGTCCATCAATGGCTACTAGTCAGGATGGTCAAGGATGCAACCCCATGCTCTGGGTGTCCATAAACCTCCAGCTGCCAGAAGTTGGGACTGAAGGACAGGGGATAGATCACTTGTAATTGCCCTCTTCTGTTCATTCACTCCGAAGCATCTGGCACTCGCCCCTGTCGGAGACAGGATAGTAGGCTAGATGGACCATTGGTCTGACTCCATATGGCTGTTCTTGTTGTAATTTCCAGTGTACTTGGATAGAGCTTTTAAAATCTCACATGAATTTGTATCCTGATGTAGCACCAGCCAGACTGAGTATGAATAGAGTCACTGAGATGCATGAAAAATATGTTACTGAATCACATCTTTTCTCTCATTAGGGCTGCAACAGCACTACCTATATTCAGGATGCTTTCCAGCTATTGCTTCCGGTTCTTCAGATTTCACATATCCAGACCAATTGTTTGAAAGCACAAGAGTGACAGTTTCCCAGCAGTTGTCATCACTGTGTGTAAAAGAAACCGCAAACCTAATCTCTTTAATATATGCAATTTGAAGAGATGGCACAAAAGATGTCTGGCCACAGAGGGGCCTTTTGAGGACACTAAAAGCTATTTTGCACAGGCAGTACTGAAAAATATTTGAGAAAAATCAAATAGAAGTTCTTTAACTAGATGTAGTTACTAGAATAGGTAATTTCTTTTCAAGTTAGTGAATATTCTTCACGTCAATTTAAACTGATGAAGTGTTTATTGAAGTTAGTATTGACTTCAGTATGAAAGCAGGTAATTAATGTTGACACTTTCAGTTCTAAACAGCGATGTCTGAAGGAAATTTGAAAACAATGTTTTTTAAACATTTTGGTCCAGATGCCCCATTTTAATTATCAGTTTAAAATGTTTACTTTTGAAAGTTAGTTTCTGTATTTAACCTTCATTAACTCTCAAGTTAACTTAAGCAAATGAACTCTGTTTTGAGCATTCCAATATTATTTTTTCAGTGACAGTCTGATAGTAACCCTTAGCACGCATACAGTGCTTTGGTGTTCAAAGAGCTGTACATTAAACAAATTTCAGCTAATAAAAATTAGGAAAAATACGCATATCAGACATTGTATTGAAGTGAAATTGTCTGAGCCAGTTAGAGCACAGGCAAAACTGTACATGTGCTGACCCATAATTGTATACTTATTGTATTTATGCCAGTCCCTTCACTCTGATTGGCCGAAAGACATTATAGGCCAGAGTAGAGGGATTTACTCTACTCATTAGAGTATGTAATCATACTCTACAACTACACAGTAATTCAGCAAATCCCTTCACTTTGGTTGGCAGTTGCCCTTGGAACTCCCAATCTGTGTGCCCATAACAAACGTATTGCCTCATCTTCTCTTCCTTCTCCCCAATCTATCATTTCACCTAAATCTGGATTTTAAATACAGTTTGTTTGTTTTTAATAAAAGGGATTACTGATAGAGAGGGATTGGAACTAAGTTTTCCAATAAGGGTCAAAGAGGAGGAGAAGGAGTTATGAGAAGATTGAGTTGGGTGAGACAAGGTAGGGAGGTCACAAGTTGAAGCATGTTGTGGGAACATGGAAGAGGAATTCTGTGCACAGAGCCAACCTGAGAGGGCGGAAAGCACATTTCAGTATAACAGTAATTGAAGGGTTCTTGTGTTAAACTTGGTGATATGCATATCTTGGGCTTAATAAATTCACAGTCTTCAGCCTCAGAGTTTATTTTGGCCAGGTTAAAATTATTACTTCATGACAGTAGAAACCTTTAGTTATTTAAGTATCCAGTTCTCCTGAATTGTCCATGTTTATTACATTTTTGTAAGCTACACTGTATTTTTTCATATTGATATAGTGATTAGCTCTTTTAAATATTATAAAATTGTAGCTAACATCTGAATGTATTTAACCGTTGAAGCAATGTGTTCACACATCATAAACATAATCAGAATAGAATACTAGGAAATGTTATAATTGTATTTGTTAGAAATGAGAAGCCATTTATCTGCCTAGGCATGGTAACAGTAAGGAGCCTAAATAAGAGATGACAGAAAGCAGGTCTGTGTCTCTGCCTTACATAATGAGGTCCATATTCTGCTGTCACCTGTGTAGTGACTATGTTTAATATTTCATCATTTAGATGGGAGATATTCATTATGTACTTCTGTGGTATGTTATGCACAATTTCTGTTCTGCCTGTGCAGCTGAACTTGGCAAGCTAAACCTGACATTCATTATTACTTACACCATCTTGAAATAATAGCCCAATATGAAATAAAGAGGGGCACTTGGGAAAATATAGAAAAGATACTGTAAACTGGTAGGCAAACTTACTGGCTGGGAAGGTAGACTAAAGCTCTCAACACTAGCCCGCTTTCCTCAAGGCTTGTTTTATTTCCAAATACTAGTCCCCAAACAAAAGCAAATAAATTTGAAATATTAGGTATTAACCCTTTTTTCCCCAGCATCAACCAGTTGGGCTGGGAAAGGACACCCTTCCCCTTTGATAGCCCCACCTAGCTACTACAGAGAGACCCACACTAACTTCCTAGAACCTGGGTCTCTCCTTTTTGTTCCCCTGCCCCAGAGAGAAGAAGCTTTGTACTTTGTTTTCATATACCAGGTCACATGTTTTCTCCTAGTCATGTGCCCTGCACCTGCAGCTCCCAGTTTTAAAGGGCACAAATCCACAACGGGTGCATTGGGATGTGTGCATGCCTCCAAGGCCTAGTGCCCTACTATGGATACCTCGTTATTTAAAGCAATATTTTTATTTAATCACAGTATTGTCAAACTAGTATATCGTGCATGATTAAAATCCTGTTTTCATTTTAAAGGGAGAGTATCACAAAAAGTCAAGTGCCTTTATTTATCAGTTATTACGTTTTAGATGTTATTGACTTTAAATTAGTCTGACCATTAATTATAGTTGAGAAAAGCCTTTCAGTTCAAACCAGACTTATCAGAATTGTGCATTAGGTATGGGTAAGTGTGATGTTGCTGCCAAATGAATCATTTCTAAGGAATAGTTATGGCAGTTTCATATTACCCCTATGCAGAGGTTACTCTTTTTGGATTTAAAATTGGGCAAGTGTCTCAGGTTTCCTCTGGCGTTCAGAGCAAGATACATATAGTTGAACCTGACAAGGGAACACTGAAGGGGACAGCGAAAATTGGTTGTCTAATAAAAATGTTCTTTTAACTAAAGATTGAACAGAATTGTATGGGAAACCCTAGGGGATACTGTAAGGAGCTGTTGAGGGAAATTATTTGAGACGGGATTTCTTATTTAAGGTGGTCTTTAGAACAGGTTTCACTGTACTACTTAAATTATGCATGTAGTGTATCAGTGCTTTGACCTTAAGTGAAAAGAATTTTTTAAAAGAAAACAATATATATAATTCCTTGTAAAATCTGCACAAAGAAAATCTCAAACTACTAAACCCTAAATATTTAATTTTAAAAAAAATCTTGTTTATGAAAGTCACTTATACTCATGGACAAACCAGTTTTTCATATTGTAGAACATGATATTTAGTTGTTGAGTAATGATTCACTTTTATGAACACTTTTACTATCCAGAGATGAAGGCTTCAGAATAAACTAGGCTTTTACACGCATTGGATTGAAAAAGTGTGTTGAGCTGGAATGTCTGCACATTTGCAAACCTGCAAATAATCCCAACTATTTCAGGTGACTGAATCTAGCTCAACTTTAGTTTGGTTTCAAACTATTTTACAGGGCATTATTTGTATGTCTGTATCAACAGTATTTGCATTTTTTTTCCAAAATGGAAAAAAGAAAGGTATAATTTATTTATTGCTGCTATTTGCTGTTCAATTATAAATGGCTTTTCTCAATGACTGACTCCTACACTACAGCATCCACTGCCTAACACCACTGAACAAAGGAACTGCACTTCCACTTTTTTGAAGTCCCTTAGATTATCCACTGATTATCTTTTTCTAAATTGTAAAACATACCTCTTTCTTTTTTACTTGTAATAAATTATTGCAGCCAGCAGCATTTCAGATGTTTTATTAATGATGCCAGTGTCATCAGCAGGTTAGGCTTCATAACAACTTCAATGAGTCTGTAAGGTAGACGAGTCCTGTTTGACACATTAGAGAACTTTTACCTTTGTCTGACTCGCAGAAGCACTTTTTATCACATGAACAGTCACCCACTAGTAGTAGTATTTATTCGACATTCTATTTTTAATTCAAAATGACAGCCCTGTCTCTTCTATTGGTCGCAAAGGAATGGAAAGACTGGGTAAGGACTTTTCTGAGATCTTTTTAATGCCATCTCAGAGCAAGGCTTAAAGTGACACTGTCAACTAATCTGACCTACTTGGAAATTGTTGCAATCTGACTGAAAAGCCCTCTGGACTTTAAACAAGTATAATTCGTTTACTGAAAAATCAAATTCTGCTACTGAGAATATGAGGACTAAAATAACCACTCTTCTCATAGGACCTATGCATTTCCATTATTTTGATACCTGACTCAGCATATCAACAATATTGCTGTAACTCATGGTTGTTGATGATTGTGCATAAATGTGGAATCAAAATGAAAATAGTCATAATTTCAGCTGTATTCACAAGCCAGGCAGGGAGAAAAAAAGGACATGATCTGTAGCAAAAGGGAGGATTTTTTTTTAAGATCTGATGACAGTACCAGAAGAGACTTTTTTTTAAAGTGCTGAGCATTGCTCAAAATATTGAAGAGATGACATCTAATTAGTTCCAGCAGGATCTGAGTCACAGCCTTTCTGAAGTAAAACAAAAAATTAAGCATGAGCATGCAGAAGATGAGGCAAAGATCAGAACATTCAAAGAAATAAAACACAAAGGAATGAGGGCAGTTACTTTGAAAGAACTGATCAGACTTGATCTGCAGTGCTCACTTCCCACTATCATTTACCTCCAACCCTTCTCTCCAAAATGCAGACCTGCTAAAAAATCAGCAATAGAGGAGTTTCCCCACTTTGTGTCTCATTACCATCTTTGGAGAAGATTCTGTAATGGAGTTGAGCTCTATTCATTCCAGTTCTTAATTGTTTCCCCCCTACTCTCCCAGAACTTAATGAGACTATTACCTATATACAGGGCCGGCTCCAGCATTTCTGCCGCCCCAAGACAAAAAAAAAAAAAAAAGCCGACGATCGGCGGCGGCCATTGGGAAAAAAAAGCTGCGATCGGCAGCGGCAGTTCAGCGGCAGGACCTTCGCTCCTAGAGGGAGTGAGGGACCTGCCGCCCCCGAATTGCCGCAGGTGCCGCCCCTCTCCCTTGGCCGCCCCAAGCACCTGCTTGTTAAGCTGGTGCCTGGAGCCATCCCTGCCTATATAACATCATAGTAAAGTGCATAAACTGTAGAAAACAAAACAAACCCCATAACAAGGGCTAATTGTAACTCTATGAATGAAAGCTGCTGCTGTTGAAAAGGGAAAGCATGAGGACACTACGCCCAAGTAAATGACTGGTCTTTCTCTTGTGCATGACAGGGTGGAGGTGCATTTGGCTGCAAAGCATTCATAGATTCCAAAGCCAGAAGGAACCACTCTGATCATCTAGCCTGACCTCATGTATAACACAGGCCATAGAACTTCCCCAAAATAATTCCTAAAGCAGATCTGGAAAAACATCCATCCCTGATTTTAAAATTGCCTGTGATAAAGAATCCACCACAACCCTTGGTAAATTGTTCAAATGGTTAATTACCCTCACTGTTAAAAATGTACACCTAATTTCCAATCTGAATGTGTCTAGCTTTGACTTCCAGCCATTGGAGTGTTCTATACCTTTCTCTGCTAGACAAAAGAGCCCATTATCCAATATTTGTTTCCCATGTAGGTACTTGCAGACTAATCAAGTTACCCCTTCGCTGTCTCTTTGTTAAGGTATATAGATTGAGCTCCTTGAGTCTATCACTAGAAAACTGGTTTTCTAATCCTTTAACCAGTCTCACGACTCTTCTCTAAACGCTCTCCAATTTATCAGCATCCTCTTGGAATTGTTGACACCAGAACTGGACACACTATTCCAGCCGCAGCCATACCAATACCAAATACAGAGGTAAAATGACGACTCTACTATAACTTGAGAATCCCCTGTTTATGCATACCATGATCGCATAAGCCCTTTCACAGAGTCACACTGGAAGCTCATGTTCAGCTGATTATCCACCATGATCCCAAAATCTTTTTCAGAGTCTCTGCTTGTCAAGATACAGTCCCCCATCATGTATGTATGGTCTACATCAGGGGTCCCCAACGCGGTGCCTGCGGGCGCCATGACGCCCACTGAGGCATAAAGTGCGCCCACGTACTGGCCGGCGGACGAGCATCCGCCGAAATGCCGCCGAGAAGCAGCGTCATCCAGAGGCGGCGACGCTGAATTGACGTTGCCGCTTGTCAGCGGCATTTCGGCAGATGCTTGTCCACCGCATGGCGCCCGCCAGACGAAAAAGGTTGGGGACCACTGGTCTACATTCTTTGTTCCTACATATACAGCTTTACATTTATCCATATTAAAACCAGATGTTGTTTGCTTGTGCCCAGTTTACCAAGCGATCCAGATGGCTCTGTATCAATGTATCAATCTTTGTTATTTGCCACTCCTCCAATTTGTGTGTCATCTGCAAACTTTATCGGTTATGTTTTCTGCCAGGTCATTGATAAAATTGTTAAATGGCAGGGCCAAAAAACAATCCTTATGGGACCCCACTAGAAACAAACCTGCTCAGTGATAATATATTTGTAAACAGGGAATTACAAGACCTATCAGTTAGCCAGATTTTGATCCATTTATTGTGTGCCTATGATGTGGTGCACTCACCTCTCGTGAGCACCTCCTATCAGCTGGGTATGATCCTGCCCTCTCTCCTGGTGTCCCCTGTAGTTTGTTACCCTCATCAGGCAGGTTTTCAGTGGCTAAGCTATCCAGCTAAGTCACACATCATCTAAATGGATGAACCCCTTCCAGGATAACAAAGGTCCAACAAAGAACTATAGCTGTGCCCTTGTTGGTATCTGCAGCCCTGTCTCTGGGCTCAGTTCTCAGCCCCTTCTGTGGTAGCTTTAAGTCCATCTCTGCCCTGTTATATATCAGTACCACCAGGGCTTTCTCCCTGGAGAGTCTTTGTCCTCAATCGTTCTCTGGTGTCCCAGCAATCCAGCCAGCTCACTCCTTACATTCAGTCCCCTTCCAGGGGGTGGTTAACCAAGCAGTCAATAGACAGTCTGTCTGCCCTTACCAGGGTCTTCAGCCCCATCCCCAAGTCTATTAAATACAAGCCCTTTGCTCAGGCTTCTAAATGGGTCTTATCCTCTTCTTGGGGCTTAGGTCAATTCCCAAAGGGCAGGACTCAGGCCTGCCCCACTACTCCAGGTCCCAACGCATAGACCCTATAAACAGCAGTCACGTATTACTTCCCTTAATACTGCTTTATTCTCTGGGCTACTGCCCACCCATTCCCATCAACTTCATCCATTACCCTCCCCATCCCTCTTTAGGTACCCTTCTCACAAGAGTCTCCTCATACAGGAGGTAGAGGGGTTACAGCAGCTAGGTGCGGTGAGGGTTGTTCCTTCGGAGTACAGGAACAAGGGGTTCTATTCCTGCTACTTTTTAATCCTAAAGGCCAAGGGCGGTCTGCGACCTATTCTGGACCTGCAAGACCTGAACCACTTCCTAGAAAAGCTGAAGTTCTGCATGGTGTCCCTGGTCTCCATCATCCCCTTCCTGGATCTGGGAAACTGGTACGCCACCCTCGATCAGAAAGATGCATATTTTCACATCGCCATCTTCGAGGGACACAGACGCTTCCTCTGGTAGGTCCCAACCACTGTCAGTTTGCGGCCCTCCTGTTTGGTCCAGCAACAGCACCACAGGTATTTATCAAGTACATGTTGGTGGTGGCTCAGAAGTCAAGGGCTGCTCCAGGTCCCAGGTCAAAAGGCATGCTGCGATGCTGTTAGCCACCTGCCATCGCCTTGGCCTGTTAGTAAACGACAAAAAAATCCACATTGGTTCTGGTACAGAGGATAGAGTTCATCGGAGCGCTGTTCAACTCTACCTATGCTAGGTCGTTCCTGCCAGTGCAGAGATTCAGGGCACTGACAGACCCCATCGCGGAAGTCTCCGCATTTCCCCTGACCGCGGCCAGGGTTTGCCTGCACCTACTAGGTCACATGGCAGCATGTACATATGTGGTGTACCACGCCAGGCTCCAGATGTGACCCCTGCAGCCATGGCTGGCGACTGTCTACTCCCAGTCCTGGAAAAGGTTGTTACCATCCCCACGACTGTACTTACCTCGCTGCGATGGTGGACCAACCCCGAGAAAGTCCTGAAGGAGACCCCTTCGACAGCACTCCTCACTCAGTCAAGTTGGTTTCAGACACCTTGGACCTCAGCTGGGGGGCACACCTCAGCACCCTGCAGACCCAAGGTATGTGGTCCCCAGAAGAAATGATGCTGCACATAAACATCAAAGAGCTTAGGGTGGTGCACAGAGCATGCACGGTCTTCCTACCTTACCTGTCGGGCAAAGTGGTCAGAGTCCTGATGGACAACACAGCCTCAAAGTTCTGCATCAACAGTCAAGGGGGAGTGCAATCCTCCGCCCTCTGCCAAGAGGCATTCTGTCTTTGGGACTTTTGCATCGACCATGGAATCCACCTAGAAGCATGTTGCTTCCAGGTGCCAAGAACACGTTAGCAGATCACCTAAGCAGGGACTTCTCCTCTCACCACAAGTGGGTGCTCCACCCAGAGGTAGTTGGCATGATCTTCCAGAAGTGGGAAACTTCCCAAGTGGATTTGTTCGCCACCAGGCAGAACAGGAGGTGCCATAGGTTTTGCTCCAGAGGGGGTCTGAGCAAGGGCTCCCTCTCCGATGCCTTCCTCCTGCCGTAAGCAGGAAGCCTGATGTATGCGTTCCTTCCAATTCTGCTCACCACCAAAGTCCTAGCGAAAATGAAGAGACACAAGGCTCAGGTTATCATGATCGTCCTGG